CCACACTTTCGACGAGCTTTACGAGTCATTTTCGGGGCCCGGTAAACAACAAAAACGTGGGAGCTACCGGCCAAAAACCCCGAAGAACCGAACGTGCTGGGGTAACACTCGCAAAAGCAATGCAGATGGCAGCCAGACAGGCCGAACGCGGCTCCTGCAAGTGTGAGCTGCGCCACGCTCGCCGGAGTTGAGCAGCGGTAGAAGCCACTTCTGGGTGATTGGTGACATAATTGAGACACAACATAGCATGGGCAAGCTGGATTACGGCAAAGGGGAGAGCAGTATGCTGGTGTAGAACCCAGACGAGCTAAGCCTCGCCGAAGCTGAGGCTGTCCACGTCGTATAGGACTGCGCTAGGCACCCGTGTCATTGCGGGCCGGCGCCGTGAAGGTACTTGCGCGCTACGGCAAGAGGCAATGTGCCTTCATCATCATTGGCGTGGACGAGGTCGAAGTCGCGGCCTTGTAAAACAGAGCCATGAGATCCCTGTCCATGAGTTGCAGGGTCGCAAGAGGGTCCAAGTTCGCCAACGCGCCCATGTCCTCATGTGGTGTCTCAAACAGGGCCGCGTTTGGCGAAACGGGAGGACTTGGCGCGCTCCGGCCCCCGGGAAGTGCTCCGGAGCCACGACGCTGAAGCCTGGGCGCCCATTAACCCAAGGCCAGAGTCTGCCCACCAAGGCGGGATGCCCCTCCAGCCCCACAAGCCAGCGACCTAAGTTGATCGAGCTGTGCAAGCGGGGCCTTGTTGCTGCTCCAAACCGTGCACATAGGCCGGCCCGACACAGTGATTGTCGGGAGGGAGAGTTTTTGCCATAAAAAGGCTGGGTCCGGGGAGGCTGCACACTCGAGAATTGGGAGCTGAACGCAAACAAGGTCGAGTTGGCACACTGCTCATGTGCGCCCCTTTGCCCAGCGGAGGGCTTCCTCGTGTGGGGCCAGCGTTTGACGCAAAAGAGTCGTCCGGGTTGGACGTTTTCATGCTAGCATCGAAACATCCATTGTCATCAGGATGCAATAGGGCGCTTGGAACACAGCGCCCAAATAGGCCAACGTGGTGACCACGTCGCCACTATGCCTCGCCTGTGTGCCAAATAGAGGGATGCCGGCCAGCAGTTCAGTGGCGCTCATACTGTACAGGAACGACTTGTGCCCCTGGCGTATCAGCTGCTGCCAAGCACTCTGATTTTGGCTCCGGCCATCAAGCAGTTAATATGGCGCTGAGTTCTCTGCTTGGCTCCAGCAAACCCTGCCTAAAAACACCGTGCTGAAGGCATGGCAAACAACGAGGCAGGTCAACACTGTTTCACAGCACCCCTGCTGAAACAAAGCGCCCCGCCCGAGGCCGAGGTTGCGGGACCTGAGCTTCCACAAGAGCCCGACCATGTGGAACTGCTCCAGGTAGCCATGCCAAAAAAGCATCCACAGGAGCAGCTGCTCACTCGTGTCTGTGCAGGAAACGCTGAACGAACGCCTTGCTGCCCTAAAAGCTGCCAGGGCAGCTGCGAAGGCTCACAGCATTGTGTGTCTTAGGAAGCTCAGGCCCTTTCTTGTACAGCCTTGTGTGCCTCTCCAGGTACAAGCCAAGCAGCTGAGCAAGGTGGTAAAGGCCGAAACAAAAAAGCTCAAAAAAGCGCGGGCGGTGGCACGAAAGCTGAGCGAGGCAGACTTGCTAGGGCTTCTTGTAGAAAAGAGGCAACCAGTTCTCTGAGAGTGGGAGCTGGAAGCTTCTAGAAACTGTTTTTTCGAAAGCTTTTCCCTCGTTTCTCACTCCCGCAGATGATGCTCTTGATAATCTGCAGACTTCTTCTGAAGTCGACAAGTTTGTGCAGACTCCAAACTTTTCTTCTGCACTCTAAACGCCTGTGCTGTTGCTGCTTTCTGCAAGAGAAGCAGATGCAGCGACACGTGCCTTGAAAATATTGCTGCTTTGTTTTGCTGAAATGATGTCGGAGATTGTGGCAGTAGTCCTGTGAAGTTTTCATTCGCTCTTTTGCAAGTAACAAGTCGTAGCCGTGATGCCTTTGTCCTAACATGTTCAGACTTTTGGCAAGAACATTGTTAATGTGCTTTGGGGAAGACTGAAGACAGCAGTGCACGGCAGCATGAGCTCAACAATGGTGTGCTTTGTCTGCGATGGATCGGTCGTGACCTGAGATGCTAGCCTGTCTCTGCGTTGTTGCGGCCGTTCTTGCAAGCCCTGCTGTCCTATTTAGGAAAATATTGCATCGGACCAAGCTTTTGAGATTTCGGAAGATATTGCATCGGATCAAACTTTTGAGAAATAGGAAGTTATTGCTTCGGATCAACCTTTTGAGATGTGCTCTGGAGTACTGCTAGCGATGGTAGAGACAGCAGTGCAGTGCAGTACAGCGGCATCTGACGACTGAAGACAGTAGTGCAGTGCAGCAAATACTGCGCCGTTCTTGAGGTGTGATTTTTTTTGCGACGGATCAGTCGTGACCTGAGATCCAAGCCTCTTTCTGTGCTGTTGCTGCCGTTCTTGCAAGTAGCCGCGTCGTGCTGTCATATTTGGGAAGATATTGCATCGGATTAACCTTTTGAGATTTAGGACATAATTGCATCGGATCAAGCTTTTGAGATGTGCTCTGGAGTGCTGTAAACGATGCTAGGGACAGCAGTGCAGTGCAGCGCAGTGCAGTGCATCTGAAGACTGAAGACAGCAGCGCAGTGCAGCATCAGCTCAATAATGCGCCGTTCTTGAGGTGTGATTTTTTTTGCGACGGATCAGTCGTGACCTGAGATCCAAGCCTCTCTCTGTGCTGTTGCTGCCGTTCTTGCAAGTAGCCGCGTCGTGCTGTCATATTTGGGAAGATATTGCATCGGATCAACCTTTTGAGATTTAGGACATAATTGCATCGGATCAAGCTTTTGAGATGTGCTCTGGAGTGCTGTAAACGATGGTAGGGACAGCAGTGCAGTGCAGCGCAGTGCAGTGCATCTGAAGACTGAAGACAGCAGCGCAGTGCAGCATCAGCTCAATAATGCGCCGTTCTTGAGGTGTGATTTTTTTTGCCACGGATCAGTCGTGACCTGAGATCCAAGCCTCTCTCTGTGCTGTTGCGGCCGTTCTTGCAAGTAGCCGCGTCGTGCTGTCATATTTGGGAAGATATTGCATCGGATCAACCTTTTGAGATTTAGGACATAATTGCATCGGATCAAGCTTTTGAGATGTGCTCTGGAGTGCTGTAAACGATGGTAGGGACAGCAGTGCAGTGCAGCGCAGTGCAGTGCATCTGAAGACTGAAGACAGCAGCGCAGTGCAGCATCAGCTCAATGATGCGCCGTTCTTGAGGTGTGATTTTTTTTTGCGACGGATCAGTCGTGACCTGAGATCCAAGCCTCTCTCTGTGCTGTTGCGGCCGTTCTTGCAAGTAGCCGCGTCGTGCTGTCATATTTGGGAAGATATTGCATCGGATCAACCTTTTGAGATTTAGGACATAATTGCAACCTTTTGAGTTGCTAACGCGGTAAAGGGCAGTGTTCGTGGTGTCGTGCTCTGGAGTGCTGCTAACGCGGCAGAGACAGCAGTGCAGCGGCAATTCAAGACTCTTCGCAGGGTTGCTCTTTCAGTTCAGCTCCTTTTAGGGTTTAGGGTTCCTCAACACATCTGGGGTTTCCCAACCAACATCTCCTTTTAGGGTTGAAGGTGTTATTTTCTGGTTTTGAGCGGAGATTTTTAGACTTCTGCCAAGAACACGCTTCCAAAGAATAGCTGGAGACTCTGCAAATCCAGTTTTACGTGGTGTGGCGCTCTGGAGTGCTGTTAACGCGGTAGAGACAGCAGTGCAGTGCAGCGGCAATTGAAGATTGAGTAGAGACAACAGTACAGTGTAGCACCGGGTAAATCAAGCGCTGCTCCCTAGGTTTTTCTGATTTCTGACACATCGGTCGCGACCTGAGATTGACACACTGAGAACAGTCCCAGTCATGGTTTGGAGTGCCGCTACGTGATGGAGAGCGATGTTAGTGGCGTCGTGCTCTAAAGTGCTGCTATAACGCGGTAGAGACAGCAGTGCAGTGCAGCCGCAGTTTCAAGACTGACTAGAGACAACAGTACAGTGTAGCATCAGGTAAATCAAGCGCAGTTCCCTAGGCTTTTCTGATTTCTGACGCATCGGTCGCGACCTGAGATTGACAGACTCAGAACAAGTCATGGTCTGGAGTGCTGCTACGTGATAGAGAGCGATGTTAGTGGCGTCGTGCTCTGAAGTGTTGCTTTAACGCGGTAGAGACAGCAGTGCAGTGCAGCGGCAGTTTGAAGACTGAATGTTGCTGTGTCGTGCTGTGGAGCGTGCGTGCAGTGCAGCTTTGTTTTCAGAATGAAAACTGCAGGCAGTGCAGTTGCCGAGGCTTGCTTGACTTCCATCGGATTTGTGACTGAACAGGGCAAAAGTCCAGCCGCTCCTTGCTTTGTAGCTTGCAGAGCAGGCGTTGACGCAATTTACACTTCGGCATTGTCCTGCTCCCACCACGTACACTTCACAGCGTAGAAGCGCCGCACGATGCAAAGAGATGCCTGTTTTGCTCGCTACCCCCCTCCTTGGTTTCATTTTGCTCGGGATGCGCTGCTCATGTTGCTCGCTTTGTCTCCCCAGTTTTATTGCTCAAAGGACGCTCTTCTGGTCGCTCAAGCGTGGATCCACCAAGAAAAAGACATGCCATCGTCCACCTGGGCCGAAGGACTGGAGACCACTAGTAGCTGGAAGGCCACAGTGAGCCCCGTGAGGCGTTCCTTTTTTTCTGCTCTGGGAGAATAATAATTCTATTCTCCCACAGCGGGAAAAAAGGAATGCCTTCCCCACTAGGGGGATTTCCATCTGGAAGGTTCCTTTGCGTTCCTTTCCGCTCTGTTTTCCACCAGAAACGTGGAAGTCGCAAGGGTTCTGACAGGTTTGGTGTTCCCTTTCCATTCCTTTCCACAGTTTTGGACATCCAGTGATCTGTTCTGCCGTTGGCGCGTGGCCCAAAGTTGCTTCAATGAAGCGCCGGCGTTTGCTATATAAGCAGCCTCTTCCTGCCGCGCCGTCGAGTGATGAGCTTGGGCAGGTGAGAACGCTTGTGAGAGACAAGTGGGTTGCCTCCTACCTTGCCGAGCATGGACGTGGGGGTCAGGATGCACGTGCTGCGGCCAAACGAGAGTTCACCTCAGCCGCCAACAAGCGTCAGATGCTGAGTTCCATGCTGGAGTCTGGGCAGGTACCACCCCGGCTTCATGCAGCAGCCACCCGTCTAATCATGGCTTGGACATCTGAGACGCCCCTCCGTGGCCCACATGAGGTGGAGGAGGATGTCATGAGTTCGTACCGTGGCAGTGGGACTATGTTTCGGTATTCAGGGTCGTGGAGCCGTGTGGACGATGCCGCAATGTCGGCGGTGCTGGTTGCGAAGGGTCACAATGGCATTTCTGAGGTATGCAGTCGCCTCAAGTGTCACCCCTATGTGCAAGGATTGTGGGACGAGTTCTCGGCCTTCAGGCAGCAGCTGGTGTCAAGCACACCTATCACGCGCTGGACTGCAGCCATGGAGCTACATGTGGAAGCTTCGCTTGCGGCCAACCCTCCCATTCCATCGGTACACATACATTTTATGTTTGATGCCATTGGCAAGACCATCTCATTTCGAAATGAGCCTGGATTGAAGTTTCGCAACTCGCAGCCGTACAGGTCGCTTGCAGCACCAGTCGCCCGCGGACGGGCTTGCAAACGAGCCTATGATCAGGGGCACTTTTACTTGACTCCGCTCAAGACAGGTGCCATACTCCATGCCACAAATGCACCACCGTTCAAGTCCTATGCAGTGTCTCCAGAATGGATCACAAGCATGTGGCAAGGGGATAAATTGTCTCCGGAATCGGCCAAGGAACTCTATCTCAAGTGCAAAAAGCACGTCAAACAGTATTGTGACAATGTCACATCACAGGTCCAGATGACCCAGCAGAGCAACTTGCAGGAACGCCAGGCTGCAGCACAGGCAGCCTTGCTCCGCATGCATCGTCCTCGGGTGTATCTGGAACCAGTGGAACAAGAGTTCTTGCCTCAATTCCAGGTGGATGCTTTCAGACGACGCTTCTTGGTGCTGGACGGACCCACGAAGCTCGGCAAGACGATCTTTGCCTCCAGCCTTGCAGGACCCGAACACACTCTGGAGTTGAATTGTGCATCGTCCATGGAACCCAATTTGCGGGACTTCAACAATGATGTTCATCGCGCGATCGTGTTTGATGAGGCATCTTGTGCCATGGTTCTCCGGCACAAGAAGCTTTTCCAGGGTGGTGTGCAACCACTGGAACTGGCCAGCTCCAACACGAATTGCTACTCTTACAAGGTTTGGGTCTATGGCACGATGATGATCGTCACAAGCAACACCTGGACTGCAGAGTTGCATGAGCTGTCACCTGAGGACGCATCATGGCTGCGTTCCAATTCGGTGCACGTCTACTGCACACAGAAATTGTATTGCTAATGACTGCTAATGCATGAGTGACTATGGCGAAGAAAGGGCCACGTCTGCTGCTGTCACTTTGGTGCAAGGCTTCCAAGACCACGTCAGATTTTCTCACTCTGGGGCCAGTGCCGAGGCAGAGAGTTTCAAGCTAGGACGTCTGCTGTTTTCAGTTTGGGGTGACAGTGCCTCCCAAGATGACGTTGGGTTTCCGAAGAAGGTGTTGAAAGTGCCAACGTCTGCTGTTGTCACTTCGGTGCAAGGCTTCCAAGACCACGTCAGATTTTCTCACTTTGGCGGGCAGTGCCTCCAAAAAAGGCTTCCAGCCCTCCAGCCTCCAGCCTTCCAGCCTTCCAGCTCTGCAGGTCTCCAGCCCTCCAGCTTTTTAGGGCAGAGAAGCAGAGGGAGGGGCTGGAAAGGGTTGGGAGCTGGAGAAGGCTGGAAGGCTGGAGGGCTGAGGGGTGGAAGGCTGGAACTGGAGCGCTGGAAGGTGGAGGCTGGAGGGAAGGCTGGAGGGTTGGAGGAGGGCTGGAAGGCTGGACTCCAGCCTCCAGCCCTCCCTCCAACCTTCCAGCCCTCCAGCCTTCCAGCCTGGCTGAGGGGTGGAAGGCTGGAGTGCGGGAGGGGAGGGAGGGAGTGAGGGAGGGAGGGAGGGAGTGAATGAGGGAGTGAGGGAGGGAGGGAGGGAGCGAATCAGGGAATGAGGGAGTCAGGGAATGAATGAGTGGTTGAGACGTTGATGCCGTCCGTATCTGCCGTATCGTGTTTCGCTAGTGGTTTCCATGATGTTCCATGCAAAAATGCAATATTTGTCAAGAAAGTGAGAGTTCGCGGGGCCACCAGCGACGGGCAGAGTTCGAAAAAACTGGTCTATGAAGTGTTTGACACGTTCAGTCCGTCCGTATTTGCCGTGTCGTTGTCCGCTAGTGCTTTCCATGCAAAAAAGGCAAGATTGTCAAGAAACTGAGAGTGGCGCAGCCACCAGGGACAGTGCAGAGTTCGAAAAAAATGGTGTATGAAGTGTTTGACACATTCAGACCGTCCGCATCTGCCGTGTTGTATTTCGCTAGTACTTTCCGTGCAAAAATGCAATATTGTCTAGAAATTGAGAGTTCGCGCAGCAACCAGCCGCAGTGCAGAGTTCGAAAAAAATGGTGTGTGAAGTGTTTGACACGTTGAGGCCGTCCGTATCTGCCGTGTTGTATTTCGCTAGTGCTTTCCATGCAAAAAAGGCAACATTGTCTAGAAATTGAGAGTTAGCGCAGCCACCAGCCGCAGTGCAGAGTTCGAAAAAAATGGTGTATCAAGTGTTTGACACGTTCAGGTTGTGAGTATCTTCTGGGGGAGCGCGGGAGGGAGGGAGGGAAGGAGGGAAGGAGGAGGAAAGGAGGGAACAGGGAGGGAGGGAAGGGAGGGAGGGAGGGAGCGAGGGAGGGAGGGAGGGAGGGGCGGGAAAGAGAGAGAGAGAGAGAGAATTACTGAAAGTGACAGTGAGAGCGAGAGTGAGAGTCAGAGTGCGAGTGCGAGTGCGGGTGAGAGTGAGGGTGAGAGTGAGTGTGCGCGTGAGTGTGAGCGAGAGGGAGAGAGAGTGCCCAGGTGATGGCGGGGTCGTCAAAGTCAGAGGCAGCCGCTTTTGAAGTGTAGTGCTCGTGACCGCTGCGGAGTCGTCAAAGTCAGAGGCAGCCGCTTTTGAAGTGTAGTGCTCGTGACCGCTGATCCTGTTTGTTTCCTGTTGGTCGAACCCACCCCTCCGGGGGGCGGGGCAGTGTGTCTTGCTGGCGCAGGGCTTGGGACCGCTTTATGGGGCTTGATTCCCACAGCAAGTGCTAGGAGGCCAAGTCGTGCCTGTAGAGTAAAAGCCAGCGGTGTTCAGACAGGCTATGCGATTGATTGCTTGTGCTGCATCATGCAGTTTTCCACAGCCACTAGCTGCTACTCGACATCCGTTTTCTCAGAGCAGAGGCGGTTTTGCGTTTGAAACATGGCTGCCGCAAATCCAGCAGTGGAGCTGCAGCGGATCCGCCAGGAGGTTTCTTTTGGTAGGTAGGACGACATAGAAAGGGAGCAGTTGTGCATTGTTGCTACTTTCTGTCGTGTGATTTCCTTTGGAAGGTTGCATGTCTTCGAAGAAAGATTTCTTCGTTGTCACGGACGAGAAGAGCCGAGAAGCAGCGGGAAGCCAACATGGGCTTGAATCCCCGTCAAGTGTTTGTCTTATTGGCGATTTATGTACTTACTGGTGACCCAGCGGTGGCTCTCGAGTATATCAGCGCGAAGGCTGCGCGTGAAAGGATGGAAGAGGCAGACGCAGAAGACAAGAAACGATATGTAGAAGAGCTGTACCTCAAAACAAGCTTGGAAGACATAGCATCGCTGCAGGATCCTTCTGGTTCGCGGCAGGGCATTTACAAGACTGCACAGCGTTGGATTGCCAGACGAAGAACCAGAAACTTCGTGTGCAATATGAATGCGATTGGCGTGGCTCCAAGTTCAGAGCAAGTTGCAGAAGAATATCGCAAACAAAGTGCGTCCTCTGTACCAACTACCGATGCCCGTGGATTACGAGCCTGGAGCAGTCGCTTCCGTCGCAGTTTTGCCTTCCGGCTGGGCAAGATGAAAGCGGCCAAGCCAGTGGAAGATGTTTGTGCAAAGGCCGGGTGCTGGGTTCTCGAGACTTCCTGCACGCGTAACACCGCATGCTTATGGTAGCTGCTTGCAGTGGATCGTTCTGCACTTATCTGCGTTTCTCCTAACCAGCGGCAGCATTTGGACCCGAGGATTGAGGGGCCGCATCGCTTTCGACTCCATGCGGGGATGCTTTTTGAGCTCATTTTTGGACCCTCTTTTTGGAGCTGCTTTCTAAGGCTAACTCGTGGAAGCACTTACAACCCCAAAACGAGGCTCCAAAATGAGGCCTCGTTCTGGCTCCAGTTTTGGGGCCCAATTTGGGTTCAATTTCGGTAAGCCATTTCTCGTTGCCTGCAGGCCGTGCTCTTCTGGCGCCACGCTGCTTGGTTGGAACGCTCCAGCGCGAAGCAGCCAGTCTACATCAATATAGATGAAACGGCTTTAGCCTATTCGTTCCATGCTGCGCCTGGCCTGATACAGCGGAAATTCCACGCAGAGGTTCAAATTAGACCTCAAGACGCACGTGGGTGCATCACCCACGTCGCTCTCGTCTCAAATGTCCTCAGTGTGCAAGCGCATTTGCCACAGATTTTAATATGTAACAAGCGTCGTCTCAGCAGAACCCTGGAGCAACAATTGCAAAGCGTTGTTCCCTCCACCGTGACTCTCTGTCGTGAGGATTCCTCATGGAATTCAGCACGACATATGGTCTCCTTGCTAACTCTCTTGGGTCAGCTCTTTCGCATCCGCTTCCCGCAATATCAGGCCATTGTTGTCTTCGACGCGGCCTCGTGCCATCTTTCTCCGGGCGTCATAAGAGAAGGACGCCTCCAGGGGTTATTCATGCTGCCGGTGCCCCCAGGCATGACGTCCTACCTGCAGCCTTTAGATTTATGGTGTTTTGGACCATATAAGAAATGGTTGGAGCGCGAAAACCGCCAGCAGCGAATTTGCCAAAATGGGCTCGTGTCTCTAGAGACTTGGTTTAGAACAATTTTCAAAGCGTGTACAGACTACTGGACGAATCGTCCCTTTTGGAAGGCCTTTGCACAGGCAGGCCTTCCCACATCCGAGCAAAGGTTGCATGGCAAGCTTGCCTCGCTGTTCCCGGAGGGAATTCCCAGTCTGGAGCAAGCTTTGTCTCCAGATGAATTTGCACAGTTGTTGCCTAAAAGGCACGACTTGACCCGGACTTTTTCTGACTGGGTGGGCGGTCCCCGGCGAGAGGTGCCGGTGCTTTCCTAAACATCTTGAAGCATGCAGAGAAGACGTGCTGCCGCAAAAAATTGCAACTGTACAGGAACGACTTGTGCCCCTAGCGTATCAGCTGCTGCCAAGCACTCTGATTTTGGCTCCGGCCATCAAGCAGTTAATATGGCGCTTGCTGAGTTCTCTGCTTGGCTCCAGCAAACCCTGCCTTAAAACACCGTGCTGAAGGCATGGCAAACAACGAGGCAGGTCAACACTGTTTCACAGCACCCCTGCTGAAACAAAGCGCCCCGCCCGAGGCCGAGGTTGCGGGACCTGAGCTTCCACGAGAGCCCGACCGTGTGGAACTGCCCCAGGTAGCCATGCCAAAAAAGCATCCACAGGAGCAGCTGCTCACTCGTATCTACGCAGGAAACGCTGAACGAACGCCTTGCTGCCCTAAAAGCTGCCAGGGCAGCTGCGAAGGCTCACAGCATTGTGTGTCTTAGGAGGCTCAGGCCCTTTCTTGTACAGCCTTGTGTGCCTCTCCAGGTACAAGCCAAGCAGCTGAGCAAGGTGGTAAAGGCCGAAACAAAAAATCTCAAAAAAGCGCGGGCGGTGGCACGAAAGCTGAGCGAGGCAGACTTGCTAGGGCTTCTTGTAGAAAAGAGGCAACCAGTTCTCTGAGAGTGGGAGCTGGAAGCTTCTAGAAACTGTTTTTTCGAAAGCTTTTCCCTCGTTTCTCACTCCCGCAGCTGATGCTCTTGATAATCTGCAGACTTCTTCTGAAGTCGACAAGTTTGTGCAGACTCCAAACTTTTCTTCTGCACTCTAAACGCCTGTGCTGTTGCTGCTTTCTGCAAGAGAAGCAGATGCAGCGACACGTGCCTTGAAAATATTGCTGCTTTGTTTTGCTGAAATGATGTCGGAGATTGTGGCAGTAGTCCTGTGAAGTTTTCATTCGCTCTTTTGCAAGTAACAAGTCGTAGCCGTGATGCCTTTGTCCTAACATGTTCAGACTTTTGGCAAGAACATTGTTAATGTGCTTTGGGGAAGACTGAAGACAGCAGTGCACGGCAGCATGAGCTCAACAATGGTGTGCTTTGTCTGCGATGGATCGGTCGTGACCTGAGATGCTAGCCTGTCTCTGCGTTGTTGCGGCCGTTCTTGCAAGCCCTGCTGTCCTATTTAGGAAAATATTGCATCGGATCAAGCTTTTGAGATTTCGGAAGATATTGCATCGGATCAAACTTTTGAGAAATAGGAAGTTATTGCTTCGGATCAACCTTTTGAGATGTGCTCTGGAGTACTGCTAGCGATGGTAGAGACAGCAGTGCAGTGCAGTACAGCGGCATCTGACGACTGAAGACAGTAGTGCAGTGCAGCAAATACTGCGCCGTTCTTGAGGTGTGATTTTTTTTGCGACGGATCAGTCGTGACCTGAGATCCAAGCCTCTTTCTGTGCTGTTGCTGCCGTTCTTGCAAGTAGCCGCGTCGTGCTGTCATATTTGGGAAGATATTGCATCGGATTAACCTTTTGAGATTTAGGACATAATTGCATCGGATCAAGCTTTTGAGATGTGCTCTGGAGTGCTGTAAACGATGCTAGGGACAGCAGTGCAGTGCAGCGCAGTGCAGTGCATCTGAAGACTGAAGACAGCAGCGCAGTGCAGCATCAGCTCAATAATGCGCCGTTCTTGAGGTGTGATTTTTTTTGCCACGGATCAGTCGTGACCTGAGATCCAAGCCTCTCTCTGTGCTGTTGCGGCCGTTCTTGCAAGTAGCCGCGTCGTGCTGTCATATTTGGGAAGATATTGCATCGGATCAACCTTTTGAGATTTAGGACATAATTGCATCGGATCAAGCTTTTGAGATGTGCTCTGGAGTGCTGTAAACGATGGTAGGGACAGCAGTGCAGTGCAGAGCAGTGCAGTGCATCTGAAGACTGAAGACAGCAGCGCAGTGCAGCATCAGCTCAATGATGCGCCGTTCTTGAGGTGTGATTTTTTTTGCGACGGATCAGTCGTGACCTGAGATGCTAGCCTGTCTCTGCGTTGTTGCGGCCGTTCTTGCAAGCCCTGCTGTCCTATTTAGGAAAATATTGCATCGGACCAAGCTTTGAGATTTCGGAAGATATTGCATCGGATCAAACTTTTGAGAAATAGGAAGTTATTGCTTCGGATCAACCTTTTGAGATGTGCTCTGGAGTACTGCTAGCGATGGTAGAGACAGCAGTGCAGTGCAGTACAGCGGCATCTGACGACTGAAGACAGTAGTGCAGTGCAGCAAATACTGCGCCGTTCTTGAGGTGTGATTTTTTTTGCGACGGATCAGTCGTGACCTGAGATCCAAGCCTCTTTCTGTGCTGTTGCTGCCGTTCTTGCAAGTAGCCGCGTCGTGCTGTCATATTTGGGAAGATATTGCATCGGATTAACCTTTTGAGATTTAGGACATAATTGCATCGGATCAAGCTTTTGAGATGTGCTCTGGAGTGCTGTAAACGATGGTAGGGACAGCAGTGCAGTGCAGCGCAGTGCAGTGCATCTGAAGACTGAAGACAGCAGCGCAGTGCAGCATCAGCTCAATAATGCGCCGTTCTTGAGGTGTGATTTTTTTTGCGACGGATCAGTCGTGACCTGAGATCCAAGCCTCTCTCTGTGCTGTTGCGGCCGTTCTTGCAAGTAGCCGCGTCGTGCTGTCATATTTGGGAAGATATTGCATCGGATCAACCTTTTGAGATTTAGGACATAATTGCATCGGATCAAGCTTTTGAGATGAGCTCTGGAGTGCTGTAAACGATGCTAGGGACAGCAGTGCAGTGCAGCGCAGTGCAGTGCATCTGAAGACTGAAGACAGCAGCGCAGTGCAGCATCAGCTCAATGATGCGCCGTTCTTGAGGTGTGATTTTTTTTGCGACGGATCAGTCGTGACCTGAGATCCAAGCCTCTCTCTGTGCTGTTGCGGCCGTTCTTGCAAGTAGCCGCGTCGTGCTGTCATATTTGGGAAGATATTGCATCGGATCAACCTTTTGAGATTTAGGACATAATTGCAACCTTTTGAGTTGCTAACGCGGTAAAGGGCAGTGTTCGTGGTGTCGTGCTCTGGAGTGCTGCTAACGCGGCAGAGACAGCAGTGCAGCGGCAATTCAAGACTCTTCGCAGGGTTGCTCTTTCAGTTCAGCTCCTTTTAGGGTTTAGGGTTCCTCAACACATCTGGGGTTTCCCAACCAACATCTCCTTTTAGGGTTGAAGGTGTTATTTTCTGGTTTTGAGCGGAGATTTTTAGACTTCTGCCAAGAACACGCTTCCAAAGAATAGCTGGAGACTCTGCAAATCCAGTTTTACGTGGTGTGGCGCTCTGGAGTGCTGTTAACGCGGTAGAGACAGCAGTGCAGTGCAGCGGCAATTGAAGATTGAGTAGAGACAACAGTACAGTGTAGCACCGGGTAAATCAAGCGCTGCTCCCTAGGTTTTTCTGATTTCTGACACATCGGTCGCGACCTGAGATTGACACACTGAGAACAGTCCCAGTCATGGTTTGGAGTGCCGCTACGTGATGGAGAGCGATGTTAGTGGCGTCGTGCTCTAAAGTGCTGCTATAACGCGGTAGAGACAGCAGTGCAGTGCAGCCGCAGTTTCAAGACTGACTAGAGACAACAGTACAGTGTAGCATCAGGTAAATCAAGCGCAGTTCCCTAGGCTTTTCTGATTTCTGACGCATCGGTCGCGACCTGAGATTGACAGACTCAGAACAAGTCATGGTCTGGAGTGCTGCTACGTGATAGAGAGCGATGTTAGTGGCGTCGTGCTCTGAAGTGTTGCTTTAACGCGGTAGAGACAGCAGTGCAGTGCAGCGGCAGTTTGAAGACTGAATGTTGCTGTGTCGTGCTGTGGAGCGTGCGTGCAGTGCAGCTTTGTTTTCAGAATGAAAACTGCAGGCAGTGCAGTTGCCGAGGCTTGCTTGACTTCCATCGGATTTGTGACTGAACAGGGCAAAAGTCCAGCCGCTCCTTGCTTTGTAGCTTGCAGAGCAGGCGTTGACGCAATTTACACTTCGGCATTGTCCTGCTCCCACCACGTACACTTCACAGCGTAGAAGCGCCGCACGATGCAAAGAGATGCCTGTTTTGCTCGCTACCCCCCTCCTTGGTTTCATTTTGCTCGGGATGCGCTGCTCATGTTGCTCGCTTTGTCTCCCCAGTTTTATTGCTCAAAGGACGCTCTTCTGGTCGCTCAAGCGTGGATCCACCAAGAAAAAGACATGCCATCGTCCACCTGGGCCGAAGGACTGGAGACCACTAGTAGCTGGAAGGCCACAGTGAGCCCCGTGAGGCGTTCCTTTTTTTCTGCTCTGGGAGAATAATAATTCTATTCTCCCACAGCGGGAAAAAAGGAATGCCTTCCCCACTAGGGGGATTTCCATCTGGAAGGTTCCTTTGCGTTCCTTTCCGCTCTGTTTTCCACCAGAAACGTGGAAGTCGCAAGGGTTCTGACAGGTTTGGTGTTCCCTTTCCATTCCTTTCCACAGTTTTGGACATCCAGTGATCTGTTCTGCCGTTGGCGCGTGGCCCAAAGTTGCTTCAATGAAGCGCCGGCGTTTGCTATATAAGCAGCCTCTTCCTGCCGCGCCGTCGAGTGATGAGCTTGGGCAGGTGAGAACGCTTGTGAGAGACAAGTGGGTTGCCTCCTACCTTGCCGAGCATGGACGTGGGGGTCAGGATGCACGTGCTGCGGCCAAACGAGAGTTCACCTCAGCCGCCAACAAGCGTCAGATGCTGAGTTCCATGCTGGAGTCTGGGCAGGTACCACCCCGGCTTCATGCAGCAGCCACCCGTCTAATCATGGCTTGGACATCTGAGACGCCCCTCCGTGGCCCACATGAGGTGGAGGAGGATGTCATGAGTTCGTACCGTGGCAGTGGGACTATGTTTCGGTATTCAGGGTCGTGGAGCCGTGTGGACGATGCCGCAATGTCGGCGGTGCTGGTTGCGAAGGGTCACAATGGCATTTCTGAGGTATGCAGTCGCCTCAAGTGTCACCCCTATGTGCAAGGATTGTGGGACGAGTTCTCGGCCTTCAGGCAGCAGCTGGTGTCAAGCACACCTATCACGCGCTGGACTGCAGCCATGGAGCTACATGTGGAAGCTTCGCTTGCGGCCAACCCTCCCATTCCATCGGTACACATACATTTTATGTTTGATGCCATTGGCAAGACCATCTCATTTCGAAATGAGCCTGGATTGAAGTTTCGCAACTCGCAGCCGTACAGGTCGCTTGCAGCACCAGTCGCCCGCGGACGGGCTTGCAAACGAGCCTATGATCAGGGGCACTTTTACTTGACTCCGCTCAAGACAGGTGCCATACTCCATGCCACAAATGCACCACCGTTCAAGTCCTATGCAGTGTCTCCAGAATGGATCACAAGCATGTGGCAAGGGGATAAATTGTCTCCGGAATCGGCCAAGGAACTCTATCTCAAGTGCAAAAAGCACGTCAAACAGTATTGTGACAATGTCACATCACAGGTCCAGATGACCCAGCAGAGCAACTTGCAGGAACGCCAGGCTGCAGCACAGGCAGCCTTGCTCCGCATGCATCGTCCTCGGGTGTATCTGGAACCAGTGGAACAAGAGTTCTTGCCTCAATTCCAGGTGGATGCTTTCAGACGACGCTTCTTGGTGCTGGACGGACCCACGAAGCTCGGCAAGACGATCTTTGCCTCCAGCCTTGCAGGACCCGAACACACTCTGGAGTTGAATTGTGCATCGTCCATGGAACCCAATTTGCGGGACTTCAACAATGATGTTCATCGCGCGATCGTGTTTGATGAGGCATCTTGTGCCATGGTTCTCCGGCACAAGAAGCTTTTCCAGGGTGGTGTGCAACCACTGGAACTGGCCAGCTCCAACACGAATTGCTACTCTTACAAGGTTTGGGTCTATGGCACGATGATGATCGTCACAAGCAACACCTGGACTGCAGAGTTGCATGAGCTGTCACCTGAGGACGCATCATGGCTGCGTTCCAATTCGGTGCACGTCTACTGCACACAGAAATTGTATTGCTAATGACTGCTAATGCATGAGTGACTATGGCGAAGAAAGGGCCACGTCTGCTGCTGTCACTTTGGTGCAAGGCTTCCAAGACCACGTCAGATTTTCTCACTCTGGGGCCAGTGCCGAGGCAGAGAGTTTCAAGCTAGGACGTCTGCTGTTTTCAGTTTGGGGTGACAGTGCCTCCCAAGATGACGTTGGGTTTCCGAAGAAGGTGTTGAAAGTGCCAACGTCTGCTGTTGTCACTTCGGCTGTTGTCACTTCGGTGCAAGGCTTCCAAGACCACGTCAGATTTTCTCACTTTGGCGGGCAGTGCCTCCAAAAAAGGCTTCCAGCCCTCCAGCCTCCAGCCTTCCAGCCTTCCAGCTCTGCAGGTCTCCAGCCCTCCAGCTTTTTAGGGCAGAGAAGCAGAGGGAGGGGCTGGAAAGGGTTGGGAGCTGGAGAAGGCTGGAAGGCTGGAGGGCTGAGGGGTGGAAGGCTGGAACTGGAGCGCTGGAAGGTGGAGGCTGGAGGGAAGGCTGGAGGGTTGGAGGAGGGCTGGAAGGCTGGACTCCAGCCTCCAGCCCTCCCTCCAACCTTCCAGCCCTCCAGCCTTCCAGCCTGGCTGAGGGGTGGAAGGCTGGAGTGCGGGAGGGGAGGGAGTGAGGGAGGGAGGGAGGGAGGGAGGGAGGGAGGGAGTGAATGAGGGAGTGAGGGAGGGAGGGAGGGAGCGAATCAGGGAATGAGGGAGTCAGGGAATGAATGAGTGGTTGAGACGTTGATGCCGTCCGTATCTGCCGTATCGTGTTTCGCTAGTGGTTTCCATGATGTTCCATGCAAAAATGCAATATTTGTCAAGAAAGTGAGAGTTCGCGGGGCCACCAGCGACGGGCAGAGTTCGAAAAAACTGGTCTATGAAGTGTTTGACACGTTCAGTCCGTCCGTATTTGCCGTGTCGTTGTCCGCTAGTGCTTTCCATGCAAAAAAGGCAAGATTGTCAAGAAACTGAGAGTGGCGCAGCCACCAGGGACAGTGCAGAGTTCGAAAAAATGGTGTATGAAGTGTTTGACACATTCAGACCGTCCGCATCTGCCGTGTTGTATTTCGCTAGTACTTTCCGTGCAAAAATGCAATATTGTCTAGAAATTGAGAGTTCGCGCAGCAACCAGCCGCAGTGCAGAGTTCGAAAAAAATGGTGTGTGAAGTGTTTGACACGTTGAGGCCGTCCGTATCTGCCGTGTTGTATTTCGCTAGTGCTTTCCATGCAAAAAAGGCAACATTGTCTAGAAATTGAGAGTTAGCGCAGCCACCAGCCGCAGTGCAGAGTTCGAAAAAAATGGTGTATCAAGTGTTTGACACGTTCAGGTTGTGAGTATCTTCTGGGGGAGCGCGGGAGGGAGGGAGGGAAGGAGGGAAGGAGGAGGAAAGGAGGGAACAGGGAGGGAGGGAAGGGAGGGAGGGAGGGAGCGAGGGAGGGAGGGAGGGAGGGGCGGGAAAGAGAGAGAGAGAGAGAGAGAGAGAGAGAGAGAATTACTGAAAGTGACAGTGAGAGCGAGAGTGAGAGTCAGAGTGCGAGTGCGAGTGCGGGTGAGAGTGAGGGTGAGAGTGAGTGTGCGCGTGAGTGTGAGCGAGAGGGAGAGAGAGTGCCCAGGTGATGGCGGGGTCGTCAAAGTCAGAGGCAGCCGCTTTTGAAGTGTAGTGCTCGTGACCGCTGCGGAGTCGTCAAAGTCAGAGGCAGCCGCTTTTGAAGTGTAGTGCTCGTGACCGCTGATCCTGTTTGTTTCCTGTTGGTCGAACCCACCCCTCCGGGGGGCGGGGCAGTGTGTCTGGCTGGACCGCTTTATGGGGCTTGATTCCCACAGCAAGTGCTAGGAGGCCAAGTCGTGCCTGTAGAGTAAGGCCGCAGCCGCGGCAAGGTACTGTGGAGGGCCGACCTCGCGAAGCCAGAATTGCTTGTGTTTTGCGGGCCTTAAAATGGGGTCGCCCGACAGCCCCATAACTGTGCAGCTTTGAGATCGTACAAAGACAGAGAATTTTTGCCAGAGGTGACTCTAGCATTTCTGAACAGAGCAGATCAAGCCATGCAGAGTTATGGTATCGAGAAGGTGGGCCGGAACAGATCATACAAGAGCGGCGGAATTTTCTGGAAGGTATCTCCACCAGATCTGAACAGGACTTCTTGAGCTGTGTAGAGTTATGGTATCGAGAGGTGTGGCTGACGGTTCGGAATTTGTGCACGGTGCTTAACTCCAAAACCCCTCATGCACGACATGGGCTCACCTGGCTCTCGCCAGATTTTTTTTGCTCTTTTAGCAGAGACCCATTTGCAACATTCTTTGCCTCTGCCTTGCTTCTGATTGCATTTGCTGTTGCTAGACCAGTGGTTGCGTTCCCTCAAAAGACCGAACTGCACTTTTCGCTGTTCTCGGAGATTGCACCTCTGCTTCAATTTCTTTTTGCTCTCTGAGTCAGTTCCATCGTCAAATCGGGTCTTTTTTGCTTCATGGTTGCGTGTGTCTTTGCGCAGGATGGTTGCATCCGCTGTCACAAACCGACAAAAAAAAGATCGCTCGCAGCAGGCGCTCCAACCGACTTTGTTGCTCAGCAAATCCACATCTCTGCGCAACACAGACCCGTGCCGCTGCCGCCCCCGCAACACAGGTTTTTCGGTCTGCCTCAAATGGAAGAACTGCTTTTGAATCAGGTTAGTGACCGCACTCGTTTTGTCTCGTTTCGTTTTGCTTCGAATGTTTTTAGCTCAAGAAAAAGATCGAGTGCTGCGCACTCTGTTTTTCTTGTTAGTGGACTTCTGAGAGCTGTAAAGCGCCACGGCCTCGCCTGTGCAAGGTTCGAGTTGAGAGTTCTCCTAGAAGGTACCTGTGCCTGAGAAAGCATCGACTTTGACCTGTTTGGACCAGATCCTGTTTGGTCCCATGAGTCCGCCTGCAACTCAAAGGCGGAAGTGTTCTGGCTGCTGTGTCTGGAACGTGTTCGGCCACCAGTGCCGCCGACGTCCACTTTCGGTGCGAACCAACTGCAGCACACGCGGCTCCAAATGTGGGGTCGAACAAGCTTAGCAATTTTGGCTTCGCTTGAGTGGCCCCCCTCTGTTCTCTCATGTCTGTCACTTCCACGGGCAAGCTGTCTGTTGGAAATTCTTGTTGGAGAACGATTTTTCCACACTGGATGCCTGCCTGTGGGCGAGTCGCCTTGATGTAGCAGTGTGGAACGCACGGGCTTGGGCTTGGGCCCCAAAATGAGGAATTCGCGACCCCAAAATAGGGGCCGCCAAGCGGCCCCGATTTTGGGGTCCTCTGGTTGCCAGTCAAAATATGTTGAAGGAGGTTGACTGGATTTCGCGGCTCCTTTTCTGGGGCCGCGAGACGGCCCCATTTTTGGGGTCGCAAGTTTGATTCCTGCACCCACAGCGGCTGAATCTCGTCAGCTGCGCATGTCATTGATTGTATTGACTTTGGGGAGCGTCTGGTGGAGGACCGTTTGGAAGGTCGGAACTTGTCCAAAGCAGCTGTGTTGCTCGCCCTTAATAGTGCTGCAGCCAGCGGAATGCAACTGTGGAGGGCCGACCTCGCGAAGCCAGAATTGCTTGTGTTTTGCGGGCCTTAAAATGGGGTCGCCCGACAGCCCCATAACTGTGCAGCTTTGAGATCGTACAAAGACAGAGAATTTTTGCCAGAGGTGACTCTAGCATTTCTGAACAGAGCAGATCAAGCCATGCAGAGTTATGGTATCGAGAAGGTGGGCCGGAACAGATCATACAAGAGCGGCGGAATTTTCTGGAAGGTATCTCCACCAGATCTGAACAGGACTTCTTGAGCTGTGTAGAGTTATGGTATCGAGAGGTGTGGCTGACGGTTCGGAATTTGTGCACGGTGCTTAACTCCAAAACCCCTCATGCACGACATGGGCTCACCTGGCTCTCGCCAGATTTTTTTTGCTCTTTTAGCAGAGACCCATTTGCAACATTCTTTGCCTCTGTCTTGCTTCTGATTGCATTTGCTGTTGCTAGACCAGTGGTTGCGTTCCCTCAAAAGACCGAACTGCACTTTTCGCTGTTCTCGGAGATTGCACCTCTGCTTCAATTTCTTTTTGCTCTCTGAGTCAGTTCCATCGTCAAATCGGGTCTTTTTTGCTTCATGGTTGCGTGTGTCTTTGCGCAGGATGGTTGCATCCGCTGTCACAAACCGACAAAAAAAAGATCGCTCGCAGCAGGCGCTCCAACCGACTTTGTTGCTCAGCAAATCCACATCTCTGCGCAACACAGACCCGTGCCGCTGCTGCTCCCGCAACACAGGTTTTTCGGTCTGCCTCAAATGGAAGAACTGCTTTTGAATCAGGTTAGTGACCGCACTCGTTTTGTCTCGTTTCGTTTTGCTTCGAATGTTTTTAGCTCAAGAAAAAGATCGAGTGCTGCGCACTCTGTTTTTCTTGTTAGTGGACTTCTGAGAGCTGTGAAGCGCCACGGCCTCGCCTGTGCAAGGTTCGAGTTGAGAGTTCTCCAGAAGGTACCTGTGCCTGAGAAAGCATCGACTTTGACCTGTTTGGACCAGATCCTGTTTGTCCCATGAGTCCGCCTGCAGCTCAAAGGTGGAAGTGTTCTGGCTGCTGTGTCTGGAACGTGTTCGGCCACCAGTGCCGCCGACGTCCACTTTCGGTGCGACCAACTGCAGCACACGCGGCTCCAAATGTGGGGTCGAACAAGCTTAGCAATTTTGGCTTCGCTTGAGTGGCCCCCCTCTGTTCTCTCATGTCTGTCACTTCCACAGGCAAGCTGTCTGTTGGAAATTCTTGTTGGAGAACGATTTTTCCACACTGGATGCCTGCCTGTGGGCGAGTCGCCTTGATGTAGCAGTGTGGAACGCACGGGCTTGGGCTTGGGCCCCAAAATGAGGAATTCGTGACCCCAAAATAGGGGCCGCCAAGCGGCCCCGATTTTGGGGTCCTCTGGTTGCCAGTCAAAATATGTTGAAGGAGGTTGACTGGATTTCGCGGCTCCTTTTCTGGGGCCGCGAGACGGC